CTGGAAGGGAAGCGTGAGCATTGTTTTGAATTCAGAAATAGTTTTAGACCTTTTGAGATTTTTGCTCTATTTATATTAGTTTACGAACCTTACACACGAAAACAGAAAAAAATCCAGAAGATGTCTTAGGTAGGTTTCCAGCGAGCGCCGACCGAAGGGAGGCGTGAGCATTGTTTTGAATTCAGAATTATGTTTAGATCTCTAGAGATTCTTGATTTATATATTAATATCAGACGACGAACCTTATACATAAAAAATGAACAAAAATCCAGAAGATGCCTTATTTAGGCCCCCAGCGAGCGCCGAACGAAGGGAGGCGTGTGCATTGTGTTCGATTTAAAAGTCACCAAAGGACGATCGCTTGCGCAGATTCAACTTAATCAAGTCAAGGGACCGAGCGAGTGGAGACGAGCGTTACCTTGTTGGATAGTATAGTTTTGTAGTTTCAACCAAAAGCTACAGATAGCTTCGAAAGTCCATGCTTTACCGTAGTGGCATAGTATGTCAAAAAAATAAGGTTTTTTATTCGCGAGGAAAAATGGCGCGATGAGTTTTTTAAATAAGCTGAATTATAGAATAAAGGTCTTGCTAAAAGATTGTATCGTGTATCACGCCCATGGATTCTCTAAGGGTAATCAACAACTACTGATCAATGAATGATAGATAGATGGTAGTGCCATCAAAGAATGGCGTGGTGGAAGAATGTTTTCTAATTCGTTATAGTTTTGTTCCTATCATTCTCTCTGTCTCTTATACACTGCCAAAAAAGCCTCACACACACACATTCCGTGCAAAAGTCACGCGTGAAATATATGATGTTGTAAACAATTTTATGTAGTGAATTTTTAGTTGTAAAGAGGGAACCCTTTGAAAAGAAATGAAAACTACTTTTATTTTTTAGTTATTATGTTTAGTTTTTTACCTGATCTTTTGGTCTTCGGCTTTAAACTTCCTTCTATTATATATTGCACTACCAAACTTTTAGAAAGCTTGTTTCCTTATGCTTGTGTCTTACTGTTTTATGAGTACTTATTCTTCTCGTCGATTTTCTACAATATGGAAGACGAAACTTCTCTTCGATTTTGTTTCTCAAAAACTTTCTTACAGAAATTCACAGCTCCCTTGATGAGCAGTGGTTATGCATTGCCAGTAGCAAAATAACAGTAGCTGACTCGGCTAATCACTACCTTTCCGCAAAATAAAGAGGAAGCAGCGATCGGTTATTGTCGTATATCATGTTGTTTTTGTTCTGGTAGAAAATATAACATGTTAGGTTATTTACTGCTGAACTATACAATAGAAAAAACGTTACATATAATGGTAAATATATGACATTACTTCCACCGAACAGTGCAATTAATGAAGGGTGATGTTACGAAAGTATTTGTGCCCAAGTACTTCGCTTGCGTAATGAAGGCGACATTTACTTTTTTTTCAGAGGTAAATTTACTTGTAAGTACTTATCCATGCACTTGACTGATTCAGTGCAAGAAATTTACTTGAAAAACTTTAGCCGAGTGCTTATTTCATTTGTATCTTGTACCTAATCCGCAGCCATACTCTACTTTCGTAGAGCAGACGCATGCATGTCTAACAAGTTTGTTCAACTCAGTAGAAATATCTGAATTATTTCCTAAGTTTATACTGATTGATATTGTGACGTTTATATGCAACTGGTCAAGGCAAAACAAAAGAGTGATTGATTCGTCCATGTACTTGGCCGAAGCGAATCAAGTGATGCAACTTGGTGAGTACTTAGACAAGAACTTGGGAAGTAAAACACTTAAGTTCTTGTTCAAGTACTTACTAAATGAGGAAACTTGTCAGGTACTCGACAAATAATCAAGTACATTTCCTAGGGACGTTACTGCTTTTTGCTTGTTTATTTGTTTTGTTGAATGATCCTTTATTGACTCAATCCAATGTAAAGTATTACTGTTGGACGGCTCATAATCAAGAGAAATAGTTGTAATTTCTAGATATTTTCTAGTCGGTATACAATGTAAGTCATATGGATGTTCAAAACGGTCAAGTATTGTACTTCGATTGTACTCTTCAATTTTTTGTTCCTTTTGGGTTTAAGATTTTACACTTCGATTAACGATATGCTTTGTGATGGAACAAAACTATGCTGAATAGTGAAAACGAAATTAGGAATCATTTTCCAAATCAGAACAGTATGAATAGCAGTCGATTGTCACTCCATAGAGCTCCCACACCTGTGGAACAGCAACTCTCACAACTTCGTATCAATATTTTAAATGTACAACTACCAGCATCAACAAAGCTCGTGGATATTTTGGTTATCCTTGAAGTAGATACAAAATACACCTACAGAACAGAAATTATTAAAAAGAAACAAAAACCACTACCGCAGATTCCTTCACTTTCTACTAATGCGCCGACCACAGCTATGAACAGTATGAATCCATCTGTGTCAACAATTCTTAATCCTTCTTCGCATCTAACAGTAAATGTGAATGAAAGTTTTGATGTTTTGGTGACAAATAATTCAAAAATACTCTTGAAAGTTATCGCACCCACACGTTTATTTGGAACAAATGATATTGGCCACGTAAACTTTGATATAAAAACAATTTTAAATGAATATAAACTAAAACAACATACATTCTCAGAAACATCACCACCGTCTTATAGAACAGAATTACTATTTGAGAATACTTCTAGAAGAACGGCCGATCGGTCCAATAACAGTGAAACAACAACAAACAAAGATCGTGGATCAATTGAAATTTTATTATACGGATCTATATTGAAGCAAAATGAAAATACTATTAATAACAATAATAATGAATCTAATCCACAAGGAGAAAATAATGCTTCATTAAATAACACAAGATCATTATCCATTTGCCAACAGGTATGAAATAACCATGTCAACATAAAGAAAAGATGAAATAAACTTCTCGTTCCATCTTTCAGGATCACCGGCAAACAACGCCGACAACTTTAAATCGTCAGTTATTAACTTCGCTAGAAAATCATTCCACACTCATAGAGCCAACAATGACTGACTCGAATGATGTTCCACAATCAACACCTCGAAATACTCTTAGGCCACTTTCTGCACGAGATACTGATACTGGAACAGCATCTACAAGACAAGGCTCAGGTTCATCGCAGTCTGGTATAGTCTCAAGTAGATCTCGCTCAAGAAGACATCATAATCCTCAGTCAGCTCGACCAACAAATAGTACTACTCCAGTCACTCCAAATAATTTGCCTGTGCCTACAACTACTGAAGTTGCTTCATCAACATCACAATTATCAGGTGACAAAGACTTGTTGCCGCAGGGATGGGAGTTACGCTATGATGCACACAACAGACCATACTATGTCGATCACAATACAAAAACCACTACATGGTTGAGAGAAAATGTACTTCCATCAGGATGGGAAAAACGCGCAGATGCACAAGGAAGAATATACTATGTTGATCACAATACGCAGACAACCACATGGATTCTGCCAACTGCTCTTCATTTACAAAATTTTGCCAACTGGCAGAATCAATATGCCAGAAGCCATTCAATGTTCAATCAGTTTGAACATCGATTTCTACCGCCGACAGCGCATCCAGGAGCAATAACACAACCTACCACACTAGGTTCGGAAAATCCATCAGAGAATGCCGCATCAGCAACGGCAGTAGACGAAATTCCATTACCACCAGGCTGGGAACGAAAACTCGATAGGCAAGGGGTTCAATACTTTGTCAATCATTTGAGCAAAACGACACAATGGGAAGATCCTCGAAAAATGAATAGTGCTGCAACTAATGAAGAATTGCCAAGTGGTTGGGAAATGAGATATACCAAAGAAAGACAACTGTATTTCATTGATCATAACAACAAAACAACAACATTTCAAGATCCAAGAATTAGTGCAGATGTAAGTAGAACGAGAACATGTTGAAGTATTTACTTATTTTTATACATTGTTATTGTTTATTGAGGTTTTGAGTGGGAAACAAGGTTCACAAATTCCAATCTATCAACGCAGTTTACCATTTAAAATTGAACAATTTCGTTATTTATGTCACACAAATGCCACACATGGACAATTAAAATTGACAATAAGACGAGAGCATTTATTTAACGATTCATACGCCCATATTATGCAATGTCAATCGTCAGAGTTACGCCGTCATTTATATATTATTTTTAAAGGTTTGTAATTTATTCCTATACTGAAAAAACATCAAGTTAGGTTATTGTTTATTATTATTGTATAGGAGAAGAAGGTTTAGATTATGGTGGAGTCGCACGTGAATGGTTTTTTCACTTATCGCACGAAGTTTTAAATCCAATGTATTGTTTATTTGAATATGCAAACAAGAATAATTATTACTTACAAATTAATCCGGCATCCAGTATAAATCCGGATCATTTATTATATTTTAAGTAAGTAAATTATATTAGAGAATATCACTTCGTAAGTAATAAAGTTTTATATGTAGAACGTAGACTCTCACCTTTGGAGAGAACAACTAGTGATTGAAAATATTATACGCCATTCATTTTATATATATTTTCATTTAGATTTATCGGTCGTTTCGTTGCTATGGCTTTATATCATGTAAAATTTATTGACAATGGTTTCTCACTGCCATTTTATAAACGTATGCTAGGGAAAAGATTGACAATACAAGATTTAGAATCGTTAGATCCTGATTTTTATAATTCATTAGTATGGATTAGAAATAATAATTTGAATGATAATGACGATTTAGAATTATATTTTAATTCGAGTTTTGAACTTCTTGGTAAAGTTGAACATGAAGAATTAAAACCAGGTGGAAATGAAATTAAATTAACGGAAGAGAATAAAGAAGAATATCTGGAATTAATAACACAATGGAGATTTAATAGAGGCATAGAACCACAAACAAAAGCATTTTTAACAGGCTTCAATGAAGTATGTATCCTTCTTATCTTCAATTTATACGAAACGAATAACTCCCAGAAGCAATTTTTGATCTAGTATTACTATTCAGCACTTGTATCACTATTAAGACGGCATGCTTAGCGGTTATGTTGTTTGGCACGTACTTCAGACGTACCGTGTTCGATTCTCGGCGCCGGCAGGTCATGTAATAGCCTTGATCAATTTACTTATGTCGTAGTGTCTTGAATCAACCGTCCGTCAGCATACTCACTACGTTGTGACGTACAATACAGTTCCTCTGACTAGTTCGCGTAGCTTTCTGGAAAGCTAGTACATGGCTAGTGAGCGCTTATGGGAGGTACCATTCTGGGCCCCTCATTTTGGGCTTTCCGTAGAAATGCCGCGAAATAAAAACTAAACTCACTAAGGCTTCATATTTTCAGAACTGATTGAAAACTAAATGGAGCACTTTTTCGTTTTGTTTCAAGTTTTTAACTATTGCCGTTCACCAGTTTTTTCATTGACCACATTACGAACCCCCTTAAATTTCATCCGTGCTATTTTTTTGGTGGTGAATTAGGATCAATTAGCGTTTAATCTTGAGTGCGTTATTTTCTAACGTCTTGACTTAGAGACACGAACATTTCAGCACAAATACAACTTGGATCAGACTAGAAACCGGTGCAAGTCCAGACTATAGAGGTGGTTTTATTATCAAGTTATAGATTGCGCTACCGCTACTACTTCACCATTCATTATCTAGTGCGTAACCAGCTCAATAAGACTCAGCCATTTAGACTAGGTACTAGAAGAGTGAAGTGATAAAACAGCAAAAGAAAAAGTTTGGACTTCCAAGAGGAATGCAAAATATTGAATTTTTAGTAAAATTTCGGCATCGACGGATAGACTCA